AAAAAAGAAAAGAAAAGAATTTAATTAATGATCTTTAAAAATTTCCATGGCACACCAGTTGAAAATCACTGACCTAGGCCATGAGGTCAGAACACGTTGTCAGCAAGACCCATGTGACCAATAAAGAACACAACAGCTTTTTTCTTTTTTGAGATGGAGTCTTACCCTGCCACCCTGGGGTTGAGTGCTATTGTCATCATAGCTCACAGCAGCCTCAAACTCCTGGGACTGAGTGCCATTGTGTAACCATAGCTCACAGCAACCTCAAACTCCTGGGATCAAGAAATCCTCTTGCCTTAGCCTCCCAAGTAACTGGGACTACACAGGCACCTGCCACAATGCCCAGCTAGTTTTTCTATTTTTAGTAGCAGTGGGATCCCACTCTTGCTCAAGCTGGTCTTGAACTCCTGAGCTCAAGCAATCCACCGGCCACAGACTCCCAGAGTGGTAGGATTACAGGGTGAGCCACGGCACCTGGCTTAGCGCACTTCTTTTTCACATAATTTACATATGCAAACAATTATTCCATACCTTGTTTATAAGCATTTATATTTTTCAATCGGACAAAATTTATATTGGTTTTGTAGTGAATTTTGAGCTATGAAGGCCGGGGGTGGTGGCTCACACCTGTAATGCTATTTGCCTAAAAAAGTCTCTGTATGATGGTTCACACCTGTAATCCTCACACTCTGGAAGGCTACCATGGGTAGACTGCTTGAGCACAGGAGTTCAGGACCAGCCTGAGCAAGAGCAAGACCCCAGCTCTAAAAGAACAGCTAGGCATAGTGGCAGGCCCCTGTAGTCCCAGCTATTCAGGAGGCTGAGGCAAGAGGATCGCTTGACCAAGGGTGACAAAGTAAGACTCTGTCTTTGGCGGGGGGGGGGGGGGGGAATTCCAGAATGAACTGCTGAAGGATGCTGAAGACTGTCAAGGGTTGAGGAGGTCAGAAGAACCAACCACTCTGTCTTGTAGGTGTAGGCAGAGAGGCAAAAGGGAGGAAAGAGTCGAAGCTGACTTAATCCACCCTCTGAACTCTGTGTCGAGCCCTCAGAATCCAGTAGCAAGATTCTTCTTTCCCATACAGTCTAGCAGTAAAGGGAAAAAAGATTCTCTTTGAGGCAGCAGACCTGACCTTTCTTTCCTTCCACAGTTACAGGGGATTTTTCATAGTTGAAAATCTGTGTACAGTGGTGAGCTCTGTGACTGTGGATCCCTGTTTGGGTTTTCCTTGCACTTGACCTGGGGTGTCCCAGTTGCTGCCAAACCAGGTGCCAGCCCTCGCCTTAGCTTGCTGGCTTCTCCTTTGCACTCCCTGGCTGCACTTTCTCTTTTTAATCCTCATGCTAACAACAGCACAGGCAGGCAGGGCCAGTGACGGCCTGCCCAGGTTCTTCCCCGGGTCTGGAGCAGGGAAGAGGAGGAGGAGGCGGCAGCCCTGAGCCCACCCGTGTGAACGGTGACCGCAGGGAAGGCCATCAGGAGGGGCCCCCTGATCTGCTCATGGAGGGCCTTTGCCTGAATCAGAGGGCAGCTAATGTGCACCTGAGACAGCAGCCTGGAGTTGTCTACCTGCCCGGGGGTATTCATTTGGATTTTAACTCTAAGACACCTCTGTCCTCTTCATTACTCTCTCCCCAGCAAGAGGCTGAAGAGAGGTACCCGGGAGGCTTTCTTCAATGAGAAGAGGGCAGGAGGGGGTTGCTGTTTTTTGTACTGCTGTATCCTTGGCTCTTGTCATATAGTAAGTGCTAAATAAATATTTGTTTGTTGAATTAAGTACAGGTTTAACTTGATTGAGGCTAGAAGTCTTTTTAAAATGTTGCAGTCTGGGAAAAGCCATGGCAAAAATTTTGCAGAAGCCCAATTCAAGATCACTCCATTGGTAGCAAATTGGAAGTTTATGGGTCCTCTGAAGTCTAAGTCATAGACCCATTGCATAGACCCATTTAACATTTATTGAGCACCTACTGTATGCCAGGCACAATGATAGATGTTTGGGATACAGAAATGAATCAGAAAGGATCTCTGCCTTTAAGAGGGTCACAGGAGAATTTAAACCAATAAGAGGCCACAAAACTGGTGCTAGAGTTGGCAGAATCAGAGAGGAAGTCCAGAAAAGTGGTAGAACATGACTCCTAGCCTGAGAAAGATTGAGTTTTAGGTGTTTCTCTGAGTCTAAATTTTCTTATCGGTAACTGGAAGATAATGATCATTTCTGTTTGTCGTAGGGTGGTAGAATTAAACAGCTAATGCAGGAAGCCCCCCTCTGCATGCCACACAGGTTTGGGGGGCACATAGTAAACCCAAGTGGATCTCAAAGGAAGAGCAGAGTGTCACACAGGAGGCAGGGGTCACAAAAGATTCCTCACCTAAGTCGTCAAGGATGAGCAGGTGTTGCCCAAGCAGGCAGAGAGGAGGCTGTGTTAGACAGGATGATGATAAAAAGATTGGCCCAGCAGAGGCAAGAGTCTCAGGAGGTCACTCGGGGTGCTCTGTGCAGAAGCCATGATCACACCTCCCCTCCCCGACCTGCACAACCTTGGGGAGTTCCTGTTCTTCTCCATGGGATCCCTGTAATGTCATCTATTCATTTAGCTGCCCCTAGACCATGTTTCACCTCCATCCCCAAGCACAAAGAAGCTGCCCACACAGCAACTGAGGGTGACCACTTGCAAGTTGTCAGTCTGCATGGGGGAAGGGCCAGAGACTACTGAAAGCTGCCTTGGTGCCAGGCTGTTCTGAGCACTTTACCCATATTAACTCATTTCACCCTCATAACAAGCCAATAAGGTAGGAGCTATTATTTATCCCATTTTAGAACTGTGAAAACAAATGCACAGAGAGGTTAGGCAATTTGCATGAGTCCACGCAGCTGGAAAATAGTGGCAGCAGTCTAGTCCACAGGTGGAGCTCCTAGTCTCCAAGCTACGTTAGAAGCAGTCTTTTCTGTTTCTATTGGTGTTGAAACCACTTACGGTGCTTGGTCAGCACTACTGAAGACATACATAGAGCTAAACGTTTTCAGGCCTGGGGACCTGGAGATGGATCTGATGACTGTGCGGACACTTTCCCAGAAAAACACTTGGTAGCAAATTGGAAGGTTATGGGTCCCTGAAGTCTAAGTCATAGACCCATTGCAGGCTTGTGAACTTGAGGTCAGTGGGTCCAAGATTTCCAGTTTGGCCTAGAGATGGGGATGGAAGAAGGAATTTGGTTTCCTGAGAGTTTCAGGGCCAAACTGAACACAGGCAATGAATGTGCTGATCAGGGCCGGCACCACTGCTCACCGCCCAGCTTGGAGCTGAGTGCTTTGGAGATGAATGTACTCACTTCAAACTCTGAATCACCCATTGCTATTTCTTTACATGTTTTTGCAAGAAAGAAGGCTTTATTTGGAATGATTCACCAACATTTTATAAATCAAGAGACACGCAAAACAGACTTAAAGGAACCACAGAAACAGAGATACAGGAACTATAAACTATTTCCAATGTCCCCATGGCAAGGCAGGTGAACTCAAATTCAGCGAAAAGAATAAAAATCAACTAACTTTTATGAGAGTTTAGAAATCTAGCTAATGTAACATAGCTATTTTCTTTTTTAAAAAATTGAATCAAGGGAACATATGAACAGGATTAAAAAGTAAAACATGGCTCGGCGCCTATAGCTCAACCGGCTAAGGCGCCAGCCACGTACACCTAAGGTGGCAGGTTCGAATCCCCAGCCCGGACCCGCCAAAAACAATGACGGCCGCAACCAAAAAATAGCCGGGCGTTGTGGCGGGCGCCTGTGGTCCCAGCTACTTGGGAGGCGAGGCAAGAGACTCGCTTGAGCCCAGGAGTTGGAGGTTGCTGTGAGCTGTAATGCCACAGCACTCTACCCAGGGGGACAGCTTGAGGCTCTGTCTCAAAAAAAAAAAAAAAAAGTAAAACATTTGGAAAGCCTAGCAAAGAAACCCAATAGGTGTACCTTTCCCCACCTTCTGTCTCAGTCCCCAAAGGTAACTCAGTCCTAAATAATATGCTTAAATTTTATTGTTCTGCCCTTTTGTATTTTATTTATTTATTTATTTTTCTTTGAGATGGGGAGTCTTATTATGTCGCCCTTGGTAGAGTGCTGTGGCGTCACAGCTCATAGCAACCTCAAACTCTTGGGCTCAAGCAATTCCTTTATCTCAGCCTCCCAAGTAGCTGGGACTACAGGTGCCCTGCACAATGCTCTACTATTTTTTTGCTGTAGTTGCCATTGTTATTTGGCAGGCCCCGGGCTGAGTTTGAACCCGCCAACTCTGATGTATGTGGCTAGTGCCCTAGCTGCTGAGCTACGGGCACTGAGCCCATTCTGCCCTTTTAGAAAAGGACTTAGGTATGACACTACCCTGTGACCACCCTCCCCCATTTCTTTATAGCTAAATTCTTATACTTCCCTCTATTACATTGGTTAACATTGTAACTTTGAAATCAGTTGGCCGTCTACATCCATGGGTTCTAAATCTGTAGGTTCAACCAACTGTTGATTGAAAATACTTGAGAAAAAAGATCATATCTGTACTGAACATGTATAGGCTTATTTTTCTTGCCATTAGTCCTTAAACATTATGGTCTACCAACTGTTATATTTATATAGCACTTATATTGTATTAGGTACTATAAGTAATCCGGAGATAACTTAAACTACAAAGGAGGGTTGCATAGGTTGTATGCAAATGCTGTCCATTTTTGTACCAGGGACTTGAGGATCAGTGAGTTTTGTTATCTGAGGGGAAGGGGGTGGTCCTGAAACCAACCTCCCCTGGAACCCACGGGATAACTGTGTGTATACTTAAATCTCTATGTCTTGCTCATTCAACTTTTGACAGTCTCTCACTTCCCTACTGTGCAGGTGAGAGAATGAAGGCTTAGAAACATCGTCCTTGCCCAAGGCCGCACAGTTGGTTAAGTAGTAGAGCTGGATACAAGCCCAGGTCAGCCCCCACACCTCCAAACTATAAATGCTGTCGTCCCTGAGACATTTTTGCGTGGCACTTATCACCTGCTATTTTTACACCTGTTACTGCTCAAAGAGAGCTTCCCCCAGGACTCAGCTCCTGCTGGTGAGTTATCCTGAAATAGCGTTAGTGGTGGCGGAGGGGTGTTTGTAGAAAGGATTACAGAGGACTGTGGTTTAGTTTTACACATCCTGGGCCCATTTGAATTTCCTCATTCTCTTGCTGCTGCAAAGCAGGATTGGAAGAGTTACACCAGGGTATGTCATAGGAACAGGGGTTATCAGGTAGAAACCTGCTCAGCGGTTCCCTGATCTGTTATTTAATTAGCACTGTTATTTAATAGCGTGGAAAGACAACAAAGGCATGGAGGTGAGTAGCTATGGTTTGTTTAGTGTTCTAGCCCAACTCTAGAAGGCTGTGGTGGTCTCACTGGTGTCACCCTCACCAGGAGCCTTCCTCCTCTATTGAACTGTGGAAGACTAGATTTGTTCTCACCACTCTTTGATGGTTTGAAAGTCCGAGATCAAACCTGAGAACACTGATAATCATCATTTCTCAAACTTTCTCAGTTCATCAGAATATAGGCCTGAAGCCCATGTCAACATCTATGTAATGGTGTGCTGGTAAACTTTTAACAACGAGTTCTCTTTGAGGTGAGGGGCTGATAGGTAGCATTTGCCAGTTTCCATGGTGTAACTACTCCTACTATAATTAATTTCAAGCTACTGACTTCACTGAATATGGAATTGGGAAGAGATGCCCAGTAGTGATGTGTGATTTCCTCCATGCACATGTAATAGACGTAAATAACCTGAGAAGCATGGGTAATAGTAAAATATAACAAAATAACAAGGAAGTGATGATTTTTGAGTATTTATCACTTCTTAAAAAATATTATTCATGTCTTGGCACCTGTAGCTCAGCTGCTAGGGTGCCAGCCACATATACCAGGGCTGGTGGGTTCAAACCTGGCCTGTGCCAGCCAAACAAAAATGACAACTACAACAACAACAACAACAAAATAGCCAGGCGTTGTGGTGGACACCTG